TAGGTTCTGCTTTGCATTGGCTTTTTGTGTGTCTTTCTCACATCTTTTATCAAACTGTAGGATCCTTGGTGATCTTTATAGCCTCTTTAGATGACACAAATCTTCACACATGTAAAGTATCTGGTAAATGTTTATGGAATTGTTTGATTGTTAGCTAGTTGCTGAAGTGTGGCCTTTCACTTCTGGAGAATAACTCAGGCACCTGATAATGCTGACTCTGAGAGTGTCCGTGCACTTCTCAGAAGGCATAGCTGAGGACTGAGAAGACACAGCATGGCACTTAGCATGTGCCACCACACAGCGGGCCTGGGCATATAAGACTCAGCACCAGCACCTAGCATGTGCACTGCACAACAGGTGCCTGGCCATATAAGACTCAGCGCCAGCACCCAGCATGTGTGCTGCATGGCAGGTGCCTGGCCATGTAAGACTCAGTGCTAGCATCCAGCACATGTGCTGCATGGCAGGTGCCTGGCCATATAAAACTCAGCACCAGCACCCAGTGTGTGCGCTGCATGGCAGGTGAATGGCCATATAAAATTCAGTGCCAGTACCCAGCGCTCACAGCACAGCAGTTGCATGGCCATATAAGACTCCATGCTAGCACCCAGTGCGTGTGCTGCACAGCAGGTGCATGGCTATATAAAACTTGGTACCAGCACCCAGTGTGTGTGCTGCACAGCAAGTGCCTGGGCACGCTTGCTGAATCTGGATGGATGTTGTAGGCTGAGATGTATTGTCTCCATGGACTGATCCTCTCAGCTGTCCTAACTGGAGATGTGCTGTTTCCTAAGGGGTAGAGGCCATCATGTAGGAGCAGGGAGGCTGTAGGACCAGGAGGGGCCACAGGATCAGGAGAGGCACTGTGTATGCCCTGAGGTGAGGGCTTGCAAGGAAGAGTAGCATAAAGCTTTTTTTTTACCTATGGAAGCTTTTTGTTCTTGGTCATGTTGTCTGTGTTGGAAACATTGGCTTTTTCCCCGGCTAACTTGCGTGAGATTTAGTGAGAGAATTAAGTGCAGGACTCTCTAAACTGACAGAAGAGCTCCAGAGACAGGGGGTGGAGGCCTTACTGTTTCTCCAATAACTTCTGTCCAAAGGAAAGAGAAGCTTTTTTGTCAGATCACTTTAGCCAGGTCTTTAGGATAGGGTAAACGTTTCTGCCGCCTGCTGGTTCTGAAGCAGCTGGACACTAGTGCAGTTGCCTCTGCAGCAGTCATGAGAGAAACCCCGCTGTCAGCCCCGCCTGCTGCATTGGCATCTGGCTTCCAGCATGCCTGCCTGCACATAAAGGCAGGCCTCTGTCTCCACTGCTGCGCTGAGTGTGCTCACTGGGTTTGGCTGTCTGAGGAGCCAGGCTCCAGGGCAGTGGTTCAATTACACAGGGAGCTGGTGCCTGTGGCTTTATGCACTCATTTTTTGTGAGATGCTTATGCCTCCATTATACAGTTGATAGCAGAAGAGAAAACCAAATGCATGGAGAATGTTTTTTTCAGAGTATGGCTAAATCTCTGCTTTCCTTTTTCAGGTCTAGTGTTAGTAATGGATTTAGTCAGCAATTTCATCAATCAGTTGGTATAAACAAGCCATTCTCAAACTCATCTGAAGGGCTTGTTAAATCAGATCATGGGGCCACATTCCCAGCAAAGTTAATGCTTGAGTAGATCCAGGGTGGGGCCCAACACTGTGTTTCTACTGAACTCCCACCTGACAGTAAAGCTGCTGACTTAGGGGCCACACTTTGAGAACCACTGGTGTATGCGATGGTTTTTTTTTTATGGGGAAGGGGGACTTGAATATTTGCTAAGAATATTATTTCATTTAAATTTATTGGGCATTATTTATGTTGGATGTTATAGCTCAGATGCCTTATTTTAAATTTTTAAGAAATAAAAGAAGAGCTTGAAGATTTGAACAAAGAAATCAAGAAAACTGCTAATAAAGTTCGAGCCACATTAAAGTGTAAGTTTAGAGTTTTATGTTTGTTTACTGATGGTGGGAATATGGGTATTTGTTTTTTTCTTTATAGTTTTTTATTCTTTTAAATTTTCTAAAATTAAAATTGTGACCACTTTAAAGTATTTGTATGTATTTCAAAGTACTAATTCATAAGATTAAGCATTTGCTTATAAGTTGTTATATTGTTATATTTTTATGACATTTTGGTCTAAATTACAGCTATTTGAGGAGTTGAAATAGCCTTAAAATGAATTGCCAAGTTCTTCTTGAATGGTTCTTTTAGTTTGTAGTTTCTTTCAAACTTTTTGTACAGTTCAACTTAGCTTATGGTGCTTGATGTTCAACTTGAACAGCAGAGTTTCTGAGAAATTATAGCTTGTGTATAGGACTTAAAAACAGGTTGCTTGTTCTTGATAGGGTAGAAAGAAACATTGTATTTAATTTTTACAAGATAGCATCAAAATCAAGAACGGTCTGTGTGCAGATTATAAATACCTTTATTATGGAAAATTTCAGACGTGTATTAGAAGCAGAGAGATGCTACCCACAAGCCCAGTGTCCCTCAGCTCTGCAGCTCTCACACATTCTTCCCACCCCAGTGATTCTCAAGCAAATCCCAGACATCTGTGATTTCATCAGTGCACATTTCAGAAACAGAAGGATTTCCCCCCCCCAAAACACAACCACTATTATCTAAGTAAAATTAATTACAATTATTTAATATTATAAAATATCCAATCAGAGTTTGCCTTTATTGGGTACCAAGTAAGGACCATACTCTGATTGGTTGATATGTCTCTTAAGATTTTTTAAAATCAGATACTCCTTCCATCCTTTTTCCCCCTAGCACTTTTTTTTGGTTGGAGAAACCAGGTCATCTGTCCTACACAATTTGCCGTGCTTCAGATTTTGCTGATTTCACTCCTGTAGTGTGTCCTTTAACAAGCCCCACTGTCCTCTGTATTTGCTGTAGATTGGTAGTCAAGCTCTTCAAAGTTGATCACGTTTGGGTGGTTTTTGTGTGCCGTGCTTCAGATTTTGCTGATTTCACTCCTGTAGTGTGTCCTTTAACAAGCCCCACTGTCTTCTGTATTTGCTGTAGATTGGTAGTCAAGCTCTTCAAAGTTGATCACGTTTGGGTGGTTTTTGTGTGGGTTTTTTTATGTTAAGATTTAACATCTGATTACAGATGTTCTGTCTTAATGTTTACATTAAGATGTTAATGGTTACATTAAGATATAACAACATTCTATTTTGTGATATTATCAACAATTGGTGATTACTGCCAAGATCCATAAACTCATTAGGAGTTATCCAACTAAGCTAACCTGCCAGCCAGCTGGAATAGTTCTTTAAAGAGAAACCTTTTCTCCCGCTCTTTGATTATCTTGAGGTACAGATTGCATAGTGCTGGATTTTTTCTCTTCTATGTGATTTTCATGGGTTGATTCCCTAGCATTCTCCAGAGATATCTGGTGGGACATTTTGTTGTTGTTCTTTCCTGTTTATCATTGTGAACACGTGGATTTAAACACATCTGATATGTTTCCGTCACTGCAGCTATCCTTAATGCTCAGATTGTTCCGTCTTTGGCCAGCAGGAGTTGACTCCTGAGTCCTTTCGACAGGACCCTCAGAGTCTTGGATATTTGATAGCCTTCCTGCTTTTTGGCATGACGAGATGATCTATGCTTCTTTCATTTCCTGTCCCAGGCCTGGGATCAGCCATTTCTCCAAGGCGTCCTACTGCTTTTATTAGAGAACGGTATTTAGAAACCGAGATCTGTGTGCTTAGGGGTAGACATTGCTATGTGTGGCAATGATTTAGTCACATTTTCTAGGCCTTTTCAGTGGACAGAAGTAGGACTTTTTTTTTGTTAAAGATAAAATGAATCATGATTTGTTACTGATACTTACAATTAAATTAAGACCTAAGGATTTTTACTTAATCTGGGAGTATTACATCTTTATCTCCTTTCAACTGTGCCCTAGATTCTGGTTCTCATGGACACTTATGTAATTATTCATTTGCTTTATTCCATAGTACACACACAATAGACTGAAGTAATATGCTAGCACCAACTGGAAAAGTATGATTACTTCAAAGAATTCAATTTTTTTGTCATTCTTTTTGTCTCTAGGTCTATCCCACTGGGCTATACAATCCAATTACTGGGTTTTAAAGTCACATTGAATAGTTCTTCTCTGTGTGATTATTTCATTAACTTGAACTACTGTTAGGTTTATTTGTTTCACTTGCTTTTGAATTTTAGGGATTGGGCTTTTAAACATTTAATTTTGCTTTATAGTTATATAAAGTATTTATGTCATTCTAAAGTCAAATCTATGAAACAAAACATTTTCAAAGAAGTCTAGCTTCTTTCTGTCCCTGTCCCCCCCCACCTTTTTCCCCTTTCCCCATAGAGGTAACCATTTTTAAAGGTTATGAGTTATCGTTCCATTTTTTTCCTAGGAGTAAATATATATACAAAATATATTTTATATATATAATATATATGTTTTTCCTATGAGAAAATGTGTACACACGTATATATTTATTAAGGGTAGTAAAAACATTTTCTCTTGATTAATAGTCTTTTTAGTGAATTATTTTAAAAGGTCACCTATTCATTAACTTTAGTTCTATGAGAGATATACTTCAAAGAATGAGAAAGAGGAGGCTAGCTCACTCTGTTAGACTGTGGTGCTGATAACACCAAGGTAAGGGGTTCGTACCCCATACTAGCCAGCTGTGAAAAAACACCAACAAAGACAAGAAAGAAAGGCATTTTGAGTTTTGGCTTGAAAAACTTTCATTTTTAAATTTTAAAGGTAATTCTTTCCTGTTTGTTTCTAGCTATTGAACAAAGTTTTGATAAGGATGAGAGTGCGAACCGAACTTCAGTGGATCTTCGGATACGACGAACCCAGGTTTGATTATCAGCCTCATTTAGATTGAGGTCATGTCAAAGAATAGGTCTTCTTCTTTTTCTTTCCAACTCAGATAATTTCATCTTCACCGTCACATTTTTTCTCACATTTCTGCATAAAAAGGATATTTAGTATTTATAGAACCCATCTCTTTGTTGTGAAGAAAAATACCTATTCAGCCATCAACAGATTTAAGTTCGGAAGAGCAGTTTCCCATCATTTTAGTGCCTTTGGTAGGGCCTCACGTTTGGTAGATCATGTGCAGCAGAGGAGAGTTTGGAGCACCTGACCCTACTCGACAGGAGGGCATGGAGCATGTGAGCTCTGGGGTCGGACTGTGTGGGTTCCAAACCTGATCCAGGGTTTATTAATAGTGCATGTGACCATGAGCTAACGGATCCCACTAAATCATTGTTTTCTTTTCTTTAAATGGGGGATATGAGCAGTTTAGTAGGGTTATTGTGAAAATTAAATAAGATAACGCATGTCAGGTTCTTAGCATAGATTCTGTTACAGGGTACATTGCTATTATTATTTTTATTTTCCATTTGAAGGAGTTGTATAATAGTTTGAGTTTCTAAAATGTAATGTTTTTATGTGTCACTTTCAATGGAACAAATGACCACTTTGTATTAATTTGTTTCTACGTTATTAGCATTCAGTACTATCTCGCAAGTTTGTGGAAGTCATGACAGGATATAATGAAGCACAGACACTATTTCGGGAGCGAAGCAAAGGACGTATACAGCGTCAGCTAGAAATAAGTGAGTAAATGGAGATTCTGTTTTTGTTAAAAACGTATTTTTCTTCCTTAAGGTCTTACTTCAAAGTATTTTAACTTCAAAAGGAATTTCATTTCTATTTTTACCAGTATCATAAAACCTAGAGACCTTTCATAAGCTTCCCATTCCTTGAATCAGCCAAACCTATTACTCTTTTATGTCCTTCAGAAAATTCTGAGTGGACTTTAAATTACTTTCTAATAACCACCATTCTTAGCATTTCAGTCATATTTGGAGAACTTTCAATTATCATTTCTTCAGGTATTTCTGTGCCCTCCTTCACCCTCGCACCTTGTTGGGAGCCAGGCTTCACGTTGCTGCTTGTCTTGTAAGCAGAGGCCTTGCCTAGATTGTCTATTTAGGGATGTCTGTGAGGTGTCAGCTTCAGAAGCTGGAGACACTGCCTCCTTGGGGCAGAGCAGTTTGTTTGCACGATGAAGCTCAGGCAGGTTTGCTCACTCCTCATTATATGAGGTCAGGGCTTCCTCAGCTGTGACAACCCGTTGTGGGGATGTCCTCCACCTGGGCTGCTGTGCCTGTCCCCATGAGACTTGGAAGACAGGGAGCCAATGTGAACATGACCCTCACACTGCCTGCTGTGCTGTGAGTGATGAAGCCCTATGTCTTTGATCCCAGGGTTTCAGACCTTCTGCCAGCTTCCACATAACTGTGGCAAACTAACTTGTCAGCATGCAGGGGAGGTAAAGTCTCAGACCCTTCATCTTCGTGAGGTCTCTCTGTTATCTCCTTCAGAGACTGAAATTAAACATCTATCAGGCCATTTGAAGTTGTCCCACAGCTCAGCAATGTTCTTTCCACTTTTTCAAGATTCTTATTTCCTGTGTGTTTCATTTTGGTTAGTTTCCATTGCTGTGTTCAGTGTCTTCGAGTTTATTTTTCCTTGTCTGATCTGCCTCTGATCCCATCCAGTTTATGTTTCATCTCAGACTTTATAGTTTTCATCTCTAGAAGTTCTCTTTGAGTTTTTTTTTATATCTTTCATGACTCTACCTAACAGAACATCTAGAGTTTAGTTGTAATGACTTTTAATGTCCTTGTCTGCTAATTCCGGCTTCTGTGTCAGTTTTGATTGGTTGATTTTTCTCTTCATTATGATTTGAGTTTTACTGCTTCTTTGCATGCCTGGTAAATTTTGATCATATGTCAGACATTGTGAATTTTACCTTGTTGGATGCTGGGTATTTTTGTATTTTTAATATTTTTGTAAGTATTCCTGGGCCTTGTTTTGCAATGTTAATCACTTGGAGTGTTAAATCATTGGAACACAGTTTTATCCTTTTGTGTCTTCCTTTTAAATGGGCCAGAGCAGCTTTACTTGAGGGCTTGCTATTCCTCACTCCTGTGGTAAGGCCCTTCTGAGTACTCTGTCTGATGGCAGCAGGAGGTTCTCAGGTTCAGCTGGGGCACAAGGCTGGGCACCGTCCCTCTGATCTTCTCCCAGAGTTTCCTCACATGCGTGTGCTGGTTGGTACCCTGATGAGTAAGCAAGGTGCCCGGCATTCTCTATGCATCTCTCTCATCTCTAGTGTGTAATCTTGCAAACTGCAGTTGCCTTGGTCTCCCCTCAGCTCTGCCTCTTCAACGTAGGGAGTCCCCTAGGCTCCAGCGGCGCTACCTCTGCTTGCTCCATGGCCCATGCACCCTCAGTTCCACCTGAGCAGCCAGTCATTGGACTCACCTTCTCTGTTTTTCTTCTCTTGGGAGTCACTGTTTGTTGTGTGATGTTCAGTGTCTTGAAAACTTTGTTTCCTAGATGTTTTTCCATGTTTTTTGTTGCTATTTCAAGTGGGAGGGTAAATATAAACATGGTCCCTGTCACTCCATCTTGGCAGAAGTGATAGTTCAATCATAATGCCAATCAGATTGCTTTTCTGTTAAAATGTTTTTAAACACAACTTTTACTTTAGTGAAAGTTGCTACTTTTTTAAAGTGAGGGAGTCATAATCACCACTGACCCCAGGTTAGGAGGTGAGTGTGAGGGGCCTCACTGTGTGCGTCTGTTGTTCCTCTGTCATGCTGAGTCCTCAGCCTGGCATACAAGGCCTAATGCTGTCTTCCTGCAGAGCTGTTGGGTTTCGCTCTCTCCTAGCACTCTCTCCCATGTGATCTGTCACATGCTTCTCTTCTGTCTTTCCTAAGTGATGTCATCCCTGCTCACTGTGTTTCCTTTCCCATTTCACCTGTTGAGATCATACTCATCTATCAGATGCAGTAGTATTTGTGAAAGTGTTTTATAAGCGATAAAATATCATATGCATGTTGGCAGTTTTTTAGTAATTCCTTTAAGTCTGTTAAATTCTTAACCCTCTCTGTGGCCTTCTCTAAACCTCTGCACCTAGAAGCATTTTTCTTCCTTTTTATATCAGCCCTGTCATCAGGTGAGTTTTATGCCTTGTATCACAGATGTCTTTTCCTGTGTTGTGTTCTTTATTTCTTTAAATGGTAAGTTCCTTTTTGGGAGCCAGGGCATGTTATATATGTCTACAGTACTTTATCTAAAATGCTTGGTGTTTCGGAATTCAGAATTTTTAAGATTTTAGGAAGACGGTGCAATGCATAGGATGCTGGTCAGTCTGGGTCTGCACTCTGTAATCAAACACATTAATATATTTCTCCAGTGAAATGTGAATATTCACAATATGTGGGATAAATTAAGACTATAAATAGCCTCAACTCAGTTTAGGTCAGATTTTGACATCAAATGAATTTTGACATCAAACCTAGGAAAAAAAAACTATTTTTCAACTCAGTTTAGGTCAGATTTTGCCATCAAATGAATTTTGATATCAAACCTAGGAAAAAAAACAATTTTTTCATAACTTTTTGGATTTCAGAATTATGGATAAAGGAATTATGAATATGTAGTGCATTTTATGCTCCATAACACCAGGTTGTTTCTTATTTTTGTTAGCTTGTAAAAACTGATTTAGTAATTGCAACTTTTTAAATTGTGTTGGTGGAATACAGGAAGAGCTTTGTTAACATGAGAAGTAAACAGTAATTTTGGGTTTTGACAATTATATTTTGCATTGTTTAAAAAATTTTTCATCTTGTTTAAAAAGCAAGGAAAAACCCAGATAATTTCCTTATTGAGCTATTTTGAATAGATATTTAAAATGATTGAGAACTATCTCTCCCAAAACAGTATAAGATTACCACAATAAAAAATAAAAAAAGAAAAAGAAATCAGTATAAGATTAAGGAAATGAATTTTGCAATTTACTGTTTTAAGTGTATTTCCATTAGATGACACTTTAACAACTTTTTTGAGATATAATTCACATAGTATGTGAATGATTTTTGATGTGCACAGTTTAGTGGTTTTTAGTGTTTTCCACATCAATTTTATTTTATTTTTTATAATTTTAACTTCTCAATATACATTGTAGTTGATTTTCGTGACCCTTTACCCATTCTACCACAGTCAATTTTAGAATATTTTTGTTACTCCAAAAGGAAACTTTTGGAGTAACAAAAGTTGATGGGAATACCCATCATCATTAACTCCCCATTTCCCTCCCACAAGCCCAAGGCAACCACCATTCTACTTTCTAGCTCTATAAGTTTTCCCATTTTGAACATTTCATATAAATGGAATCATACAATATATGTTCTTTTGTGATTGACGTCTTTCACTTAACATAGTTTTTCACAGTTCAGCCATGTTGTGATGTGTTTCAGCTTTATCCCTTTTTTGTGGCTAAATAATATTCCATTACATATTTATATCACAATTTGTATAGCCATTCATTAGATGATGGACATTTGAGTTGTTTCCACTTCACATTAAATTATATTTTAATTATGACATTTATCCATTTATGTAAAGAATAGTAAGTATGAATTAGATTTTTGCAAAATCCTGTGTACATATTTCTTAGAAGGCATTAACACATTTAACTCAAAGGAAGATAGTAACTACCAAAACATGGAAAGTTTTAAAGCATCTGGTTCTAATTACGTAATCTGTATTTATGTTCATTTAATAGATGCTGCATTTGGCTTAACCCCCTTTCCCACAAGCCAGAGTTAAATTTTTAGGAAAACTGATGTGCTAAAACATTATTTATTTCCTTTTACAGTTGTTTCCAATTAATACTAAAAAGAGATCTTATTATTCATTCCAGTGATGAAGTTCTCTTGAGTGTTCTTATTCTTCCTGCTTCTCAGTCTTGGGTTCATTTCTCATCTTTAACACCTGCCTAAGAAAACACTGTTGAAAATGCTAGGAACTCAGATTCTAGTTGCTAACTAATGGCTGAAAAAGCCATTGTTTTAAAAATGCCACATTCTGAGTAGAGCTTTACACTGTTGCTCTTTTAGCTGGAAGGACCACCACTGACGCCGAGCTGGAAGAGATGCTGGAGAGCGGGAAGCCCTCCATCTTCACGTCCGACGTGAGTGCTCATGTGGCATGGCGGCTGCATGCCTTCTTATGCAGGTAGATGTTTTTTCTTTAACATCCTAACCAGTCGTAAGTTTATTAATATTCTCTTTTATTTTTGATTTTCAAAGATTATATCAGATTCACAAATTACTAGACAAGCTCTCAATGAAATTGAGTCTCGTCACAAAGACATTATGAAGCTGGAGACCAGTATCCGAGAGTTGCATGAAATGTTCATGGATATGGCTATGTTTGTTGAGACTCAGGTAACTGCAGACGTCTCTACTTCTCTAAAATAGATAATAGTTTTGCGTAAAATCTTGTATTTGATCCCACTATATCTGGGAAAGCCCTTATTCTGGACCCAGTCTCAAAATTCAGAAGTTAATTGTAGTGTTATATGTTAATACCGAAATGCTGGAAACAGCTTGAATTTTCAGCAGTGAGAGACTGGTCTAGTTAATTAAATTATGGTATGTCATAGGTCAGCCTTGTAGGCAACCATAGGCAACATAACCTTTTGTTCATGGAGAATATTTAATGAAATGTACAAATGTTTGTGCTGGAATTTTAAATTTAGATAAAGGGAGATACAAAAATTCTATGTATATATCCATACATATGTATAAATATAAATTACTGTATATATAAATACACAGACACATATACATGGCATGGACTTGGCTACATCAAATAGTATTCACAGAAGGAAAGAAATATACCAAATAGTGTAATGATAGTGGGACTATGGAAATTTTAATTTTCTTCTCTAAAGGTATGTATTTTCAAGTTTTCTGCAAGGAGAATATACTATAGAAATAATTGGAAGAAATGTTTAAAAGAATAAATCCCAAAGGGGATACAATTCATGACAAGTAAAAGTTTGTACTTACTACTTGTCCTCAGTCTGTTTAGTAACACAGGCAGGGAGAGGAAGGAGGTGTGGAGAGACTCCTCTGAGATACCCAAAGAGTTAATACAATTTTAAAACAATTATAACATTCAGTGTAAAAGACAAGATGGTGTGTATCTGTTAGGTGTATGGACGTGGTCACACGTGTTCTCCTGACTCTGAATGAGGACCTACCACGGGACTCCACCATTCACTGATTCAGTGTCTGGTTGGGATCCCGTTGACCACCAGCTATAGGGGAAGCATTCAGATCAGATTTGAGTGAAGCAACCCCTTTCTCACTCCTCCTGAGACTGGGTTTCAGGATCTGTTTTGGCTGGCACAGTCCTCCAAAAAGGTTCTAATCTGATCAGCTTGTTTTCTGTGACTGCCTGGACTATGCAAAGTGGGATAGGAAATCTACCCACGTACAGGATTCATTTCCACATGCTTCAATAATTTTTTGAAGAACACTGTTTATTTTGAGGAACTTTATCATAAAATGGATGTGAACAGCTCAAACACTCTGCATTTGCTAGAAGAAAACTAACAACCACAGTGGGGGACAGAGAGGGAACAGTTTTACTCCTTTTTGATTTCGAGTGGAACCCATGGCCATTTGTGGTATGAGAAATGCAGAATTTGGGGTCTGATGACTACCACCTTATTTTCAGTAAGTATTCCAAAGGAAACCAATTAGACAATAAGAATAGTAGATTATTTTTGTAATTACTGAAGATTTTATAGTACCTTAGACTTTAATTATTACTATTCTATTCCAAATGCATTGCATTAAACTCCATTAGAAAAATCCCTGTATTCTTAGCCTTGTTTCATTGTTTCCTTTTAAAAATCTATTATTATTACATTATATCGATTCATCTAATTCAAAATATATGTATAGTCAGAACTTACCAGTAAGTTTAATCTGTGAATGAATAAGTTAATTTTGCATCATTCTTCAATGCTTTACTATTCACTGCTGCAGATTATGTCTGCTGGTGGACAGAAACCAGGTAATGTGTTTTCTCCCCTGACATTTCACTGGATTCACCTCAGTTTATGTTTTTGCTCATTAATTTAGTCAATTTAGTGTCAAACATAAGCTATACTTAGTTTACTGATATTTTAAAGAAATAGAAACAATTTTCCACCGCTTAGAAAAGATGTCATTCTTTGTGTATTGTGTGTTTGTGTATAGTAGTAAAATATTAGTTTAACCTAAAGCCGACTGCCTTTCCTTCACTGTGCTCATCTGTAAAAAGTGTTCACATATTAAAGCATATCTCAAAATCTACCTGATATGCCTTTAATTATCAACATTGTTGCCTATCCCTTTTAGTTCTTTTTAAAATATAAATTGAATTTTGATTGCTTTATATTGGCAAATTTATAATGGTCTCACCTTTTACCTTTTTGTAAATGTGAAAAAGAAAATTTGGTGTCCATTACATGCACATTATGTTTATATAAAAACGTTGTGATGTGGTTATTTTAAGATATATAATTAAGTCATTTGACAATGTCTTCTAAGTTTGAAATGTTTTGTTTTAAGGGAGAAATGATCAACAACATAGAAAAAAATGTTATGAATGCCGCAGACTATGTAGAACATGCTAAAGAAGAAACTAAAAAAGCTATTAAATATCAGAGCAAAGCAAGAAGGGTGAGTTTGGTTTTTAAGAATTAAAGTGCATTTTTCTCTTCATTTGGTGTCATGTTGTAATTAATGTTAACCTACTAAAAGGTATTCCAAGAAATAAAAAATCCTTAAATAAACGTTTTGTTTTAAAACTAAAATAATTCTTTTTGCTAAAAAATCTAAGTTTATTAGATAAATTATATTGAGTATAAGCCCTCTTGTGTTTGAAGTAATTAAAACCCTCCACAGCTACAAGTCAGGACTGTATCCTCTCTTCTGGGTTGGATGAGGTTGAATTTTAGGATTCTGTTTTTTGGGTCACTATTTGGAGAGAATTCCAAAACTGATGGAATTGGAAATTCTCTGAAAAATTGTTGGGTATGCATTTTATCCAGTGAATGTTTAGTCTTTATTTAGGTTTTTTTTACTTATTCTTTGGTTTGGAGGAAAGGAGAATTATCTGAGACTGCAGACCTAAAATCTTATGTAGCATCCACTTAAATGGATGCTCAAAAGAAGGAAGTCCCTTTCTCTTAAGATCCACACACTTTGCATTCAAAAGTGTTGAGGGAACCCTCTGTAAATTTTTTTTTGTTCCTGGGGCAGAATTTAAAACTTACTGTACTAATTTAGGTATTTTATCATAATGCTTCTGAAACTTGAGAGATTATGGATTTTCCACATTGTCCTCTCCTGTTAATTTTCAGAGATGCTGAGGATGATGTAAGCTTTGTAAGTGAGTTTTAGTATCTTTATCTGAATCTTAAGAGTGTTGTGTGTGAATGAGAGGTCTTCTAGGAAAACCATGAAACTACAAAACTTAAGTTTCGACCCAGGAACTAGGAAACCATGTGTCTCTTTGCCTGTCCTCGCCCAGCAGTTCTTTGGTTTTTTCTCTGTGGTGGGGATATTGACGCGAGTGTCCCAGCACTGCATTGAGTGTGTGTCTCCTCCCACTTCCCTGAGGAAGATTTGTGTTTATAGTGCATCTTGCAGAGGCTGGCTGCCCCGTGCGGGTTAGGGGACATGTCTAACACGATGTCAGTGTTAGGAAAAGTGCAGAGTCAGATTGTGTGTGCAGACTCTCCTGTAGCTAATTGTGTGGGACGTTCTCAGTGAAGATGTGTGGCTGGCTGTGATGTTAGCCTGGAGAGCCTATCACCCCGAATTTCCCTGCATATCTAAATATGCTCATTATCTTTGAAATATAAGACATATTTCTCACATTTTCTGTGTTACTGCTTTTAAAAATATTGATCCTTAACATAAATTGGAGTGATAAGTTACTTGTTTTAAGTGCTTAGCTTAGTTCCAGGCACAAAATCAACTTTCATTAAAAAAAAAGGCAGTTCCTTTCCTGTTCGCCATGACCTAAACATACCAATTCAGTGAAAATTTTAGTGAAAAGTTCATTGGTTTTACAAAGAGGAAAGAGGCAGATGTGCTAGGTTTTCATTCTTACCCTGCTGAGTCAGCCTGACTTTGCAAGGTGCCTGGGATCTGCACATTACCCAGAGTGTAAGCTAGTCAGCAGTGTGATGTGATCATTCAAAAATGATCACTGTCTTTTTGATTAAATACCTGACAACCCAGCCAGCTTGCTTCACTTCTCACTTCGCTGCTTTCCAGTTCTGCTGTGGCTTCTGGCTCAGGTGTTGGTTGTCCCCTGTCCTGGCTCCCTGTTGTTATTCCCAGGGGAGCTGCGTGGGGCCCCAGGTAGTCAGGCAGCACTACTGGACGGATATTTTTCTATATGGTATGTCTGGAGCAGTGAAGGGTCTAACTGTCAGCAGGGAACAAACAGGAGATGCAAGTCTGCATGTTGAAAGAGAATAGGGACTGACTAGATAACATCTAATTTCTTAGTTTACTGAGCTGGCTACATAGCTCCATATACATGAAAAACTTAACTGTGTGTCTGAGTCCATCAGAAATTTATCAAAATTATATGACCATGCTGCTCTCCCATTGCTGAAACCTAATATTCTAAGAGTCATACAGCAGTTTATCTCCAAATAGTCTGGCCTTATTAAATTAAAAGTCACTCTTTTTGTGAACTAAAAATTGCCAAACAAGATTAAGGACATGCCCTGTAACTTAGATTTTAAAGTGAGTTCTGATGGATTGTTTTATTTTAAATGAAGGTTGTCTTTTGATGAGGCGATGT